ACCTTAGCCTCAGAGGTTGATAACTGCATCTTGTACGCATCCTTGGCTTCAGAAGCTATCTTCAGATTGGTAGAGGCAGTAGTGGCTCTCTTCTCTGCATTGTCAAGATCCTTTTCCAGCTTCTTGATGGAGAGGGATTGAGCTTCAGCAGTGGCGCAGAGGGCCATGGTGTGGTATAGACTCTGTTTAACAGGGGAGCAAATATAAGCAAGCAAGAGTAACATAATTCTGAAGGAGCAATGCGAACCTCTATGGCTCGGACCGGGGCAGAGGGGAGTAGTTGTTCCAACCCCATTTGGCTGATGGCTTCCTCGTCCTTTGGGAGCCACATTTCTCGAGCCACCGCCAGTGCAGCTGAAGGGTCTGTAATCACAGAATCCCCTGAGTGCAGGACTGAATTGTCAGCCCTGGTGAAGGAAGGAGTTCAAGGAGCCCCAGTCTCAGCCAGAACAAAGGCCCTGACTTCATCTTTAGGTTCGGCCTCTCCAGCCTTTTTCCCTCTGCTCTTAGAAGGGACTTTGCCCTTGCCAGAGGATGAGGGGTTGAGGCGAGATTTCTTCATTGGTGGTTCCTCAACCTCCACCTCATCCTCAGTTGATCCAATAACAACCAAGGGTTGGGCGTCTTCGGCTTTCTTTTTTAAAGCCTCAGCCCTCAGTATCTCCTCCTCAGTCATAGGGAAACTGTCAAAGGATGGTAGAGACAGATCCATGAGGTCTGCAGCAACAGCACTGGAGGCAATATCCTTGAGGTTTGAAGAAGTTAGCAGGTCCTCGATAGGCGAGGGGTCACTCCAGACTCGTTCCTCAAGAAAAGAAAGTCTGTTCCTTGCCGCGGAGGATGGGAATGTAGCTGAAAAAACACCAAGAAACTCATAAGTACGGCGAAACATTAAGACTTGGCAAGGAAAACAGCCAGAACACTTGGTATGAAGGGAGGTTAAGTATTCTATACTTAATTTCCCGAACTTGCGCGGGATGGGGAGCGTAATTGATTGGGGCAGGAACCATTTTCCTTTAACTATAACCATCCTTTCTTTCCACTTCTTTTCGGATGAAGGAAGGTTCGTGCATATCCTTTGATGAAGGGGAGAGGTAAAAAAGAAGCGACCAGGCTCGGTCCCATGCTTAGATATATTGTAAGTAAGCAGAAGGTCGGCAAGGGTCAAATCCAGAGCCTCTAATTTCCGGCGCACCAACAGTGCCGAAAGGATGCGAAAGAAATTAGGATTTACCTGAAGGGGGGCAAGACCCAGCTTATTGAAAACTAAATGATAGAAGGGATGAAGAGGGAATCGGAGGGCGTTAAGATGCCCCACCGAAAGAAGCAACTCATCCTCCTCAATTCCCTCGCCGGAGGTAAAATCGGCACCCTCGGGATATTCTGCAATTTCTACTCCCTCAGGAATATCAAATTCTTCCATTACCGAAGCAATAGAGAACTTGATGCGGCGAATAGAGATGATTGCTTTCTTCTCTTCATGAGTAAGAACATAATCAGAGCCTGAGGTGGATGTCTCGATTGGAAGAGGGGAAGTACCTAATGGATTCAACAAAGGGCGATCTGCAGAAACCCTAGGAGGGGGAGCCTTAATGCGAACGGGGGAAGATGAAGGTGTGGATTCAGAATCCCCAAGGTCTATATGTTCGGGAGTAGATGAAGTACTCATAATGAAAGATTGAAGAGAAAGATACGAGACTAACCTGACAAAACGATGAAATGAAGAACGCAGAAGTGCAGCAAGGGCAAATGTAACTCTTGCAAAATCTTGTATGACGGAGTAATAATGAAAGACCTCGAACCGTTTCTGAAGCAAAGTAAAAAACCGTTTTCAATTCCCTCTTTAATAGGAGCCGTCGCTCAATTAAAAACGAAATTTGGGGCAAAGTGTGGAGGGAAAAAAACTCCCTCCAATAAAAAGCGCACACGTCACCACTACCCATATCTACATTCCAAGGACATATAAGGCCCATCATGCTCAAGCCTAAATTGAGGGTATTTACAGCCCAAGACCATTGTTATTTGTCCTCCAACCTCCATCAAGGCCGAACCAAGAAGTCATCAGCTCAGCTTATTAATATTTAACATCTGGCCTGTTACTCAAGCCCAGCCGGATCAAAATATGTTCAGCCTAGTTATTCAAGAATGCACAAGTCCTACCAGTTGAAGGATTTACTGTAGAAGGAAAATTCTGAGATAGGAAGTTCTGTACAAGGCAAGTTCTATGTATGGAAAATTCGACAATGGAAAGAACTCTATTAGAAAAGAATGTTTATATAGAAAGAATTGGAGGGCAAGCAACGCGAGTCCTACCATAATTTTGCAATCTGTTGTATATAAATAGAGGCTAAGACCTCCAATAAAGCCATCAAGCAATTCTATGCTTTTCTATATACTGTTCTTGTTTATTTTCATTATTTGTTGAGTGAGTTGTTTTATTTTTCTCAATCATTATTGGTTGAGCGAAATTCTGCACCTACAAATAATTTTCAATTTTTTGCTTTATCTTCATTTGTATTCCTAGTTTAAGTAAATTTACATTACAAATATTTAGTTCTATTTTCTAGAATTTCTTTCAATACCTGTAACTAGATTGCCCCTACATTAGTTCCATCAATCAAAATAATAACACCAGTACATGGTATATACTAAGTAATTTTAGCTTAATGTATATTTTCAGTTCATACATAACTAAGACAAAAAGATAATGTCTTCATGCTGATCCATGATGTAAAGTTATAGTAATTAGAAAGTCACTTGTTTTCCCCCCAATTTTTCTCATTATTGCCACAGTTCCATTATATGTGTCTTTTATATGTTGATATGTGCTATTTATTACTTTTCCCTTTTCTAAGACACATCATGTTACATTTCTTAAGACCCTATCACAGACTTCCAAGAAATCTTTAAAAATCATAGAAAGATCTTTCTTATTCTCGTTAAAGCTTTCTAATAATCTTTCCACTAACTAAACAATTTCCATTGTTGACCTTCTTAGCATAAAGCCATATCTGATTAGCACATCACTCGCTCCCTAATCACTTACAACTACCTACACCACCAGAATATCACTCCTCCATCTCTGGTTGCAACCCCATCACCATGGCCGCATCCACCATCCTAACTGTCTGCTAGCAATTCCATTAAAACTCACCACTCTGACATCCGTCGATAACCATCAGTTCATCACAATTGACCTTATTGAAACCTAATTGCATAACTGTCATTGTCTATCCCATATTCATACTATCACAATCAAATTCACTTCCATAACCCCACCTCCATAACCACCTCTCTCTAAAATTTCTTTTTTTCTCCCTTTCTCCAAAATTTCCATTTTCCTTTTCTAAGTTCTCTAAAAGTGTTACTCTCTCCCTGTTGAGATGTTTTCTACACTCTTTTATTGTCTCTTTAAAATATCAGTAATTATCTCAAAGTATGTCCATCCTCTCATTCTCTCTTTAAAGTCAATACCTTCCACTGAAATTTATTGTGATACTTCGTTTTCTTTATAATATTTGTTTCTCTAAAATTCTAGCAACTCCTTCCAAATCTTTTGGCAACTTTTTCTCACTTTAACTTTTTATTATGATCATAGTTGTTAAAGGCGCGCCTAGGCTCCATAAAAGCCCCAAGCTCGTCAAGGCTCAGTTAGAGCGCCTCAACCTACTACGGGCCATCCCCTTCAATTAGACTCACATAAAGTCCTCAGGCTCACACTTTTTAGTAGGCTCCAGGCTAAAAAAAGGACGCGCCTTGTATTTTTTAATCATTTATTCATATCATTTTCTTTTTTACTTGATGACTAGTAAATTAAAAGGTTCTATATCATATATCTTATTGTTTAACCTTCTGAAATATTTGACAAAGTTCATAAATTTATGATTCACTCACTACTTACATTAACTGCAATTACTGTTTGATTATGAATATATATAATAATATATGGTTAAATATGCATTATTATATACACGCGCCTTACTTCGATCAGGCTCGCGCCTTATACTGCGCTTTGCGCTTAAGCTCCAGAAGGCATTTGGCGCCTTAGTGCGCCTTGAGCCTTTAACTACTATGATTATGATCTTGGTAAATTACAAAAATTCTCTTGATTCTTCCTAAATTTCTGCAAATTTATTGGATTGTTGCTGGTGGTTGTGAGGAAAGGATGGCGACTGTTTTGTGGTGGGTTTGCCTTGGATGAGAGTTAGGAGGAAGATAGAGAAAGAGATGATGAAGTAGGAGATGTAGTGATATATGGTGGTTAGAATAGTTACAGCGAGACAAAGAGGGTGGAGTGTTGGTTATCTCATTGGTGGTTATGGATGAATGGTGGTATGCGGTCTGTGTAGTATGGTAGAGAGAGAAATTGAGGAGAGAAGAACACAATGGTAACGGCTTGTAAAAGGAAAATGATGATAAACAATGTTTAATAACTTTGTGAAGATGAAGCATAGACGGTAATATGTATTAATAAAGGGAAAAATGGACAATCCGGTTTCTGACCTAAAAATAAAAATGATCTTGTGCATTTTATTTGAATTTGTAAGGGTAAAATAGGTATTTTAGAAATAAATTTACAGTGATTTCCACAATCATGAACCTTGATGGGTTGATTTACTTGAGGGGGATCTGACAACTAAAGTAGAAGAGAGTGCAGTGTAATTTTGGGAATGATGAGTAACTTGTGTTGGGGTAGATGAGGAAAAGTCAATGCAATTTATCCTTGGGCTTCTTGGGTCTTGAGAAAGATTGGAGTCCACTCAGCTAAGCCACTTATAAATCCATGGCAGATTTATTTTTTATTTGAATTTCTCAATATGTTATATATATATATATATATATTCAATTTAATAGCTCATTTATTCATTATTCAAAGGGAAAAGCTAACCTTGGGGAGATTTCAACACTACTCTTCAATATCACAAAATACCCTTAATTCGCCTTTCCGCCTATTTTTCACTTATTTAAATTGATCTCCTATGGTTTTGGCTTCTCAATAGGATCGTACAAGAGGAGAATGAGGAATTGGATGTGGAAGACGAAGAAGAGCCTATTTTTGTTTTAACTGATGAATGGAGGGAGTTTTTTGCGAAATCTGAAGCTAAAAGAAGATTAGGTAGTCGCTATTTCCTCGTCATTCTTTTTTTACATACTGGAAATATGGTGTTTGTCTGTTTGATAATCTATACTAAATGTGCACAGAAAAGAAGCAGGCCAGAAAGAAGGGGAAAAATTGACTGGAGAACTTATAAACATCGATGAACTTGTCATCTTAAAGCATCAGGGTGGCAGCATGCCAGCAACTCCTTCAAAGTTGGATTTGGTTAAAGAATTATAGGTACCCCCTTTTTCCTCTCCTTCTCGGGGACAAGCAGGGTGGGTGGAGAGATAAAGATGGTATTCCAACTCCATTAGAGACTAAAAATTTAAGCATTTTGTTACTGATAATGTACATATCCACCTGATGCACACTTTTTCGTCTACAGTTTTTGATTGTTAGATCAGGATCACTCGATTCTCAGTGAACTTTTTAACTGTCCCTTTCTTTATTACAGATTAGGAGCATTACAGACCAGAAAGAACCAATCAAGACAAATAAATAATAGCAAGTAAATAAATAAATAAAAATCTGCCACAAAAATATGGAAGCACCAAAACTCGACAACAGAGAACCTTGTCCCTGAATCCTGGAAAAAACATTCTTGACATACTTGAACCTTACACTGTTGAAAACTGTTCTAAGCTTTCAGGCCCTTAGTTTTTGGCCGATAAAGAACCTTACACTGTTGAAGACGCGCGCGCGCGCAAAGAATGGTGAATGTGTACAAAGAGTGGTGAATGACCAAAAGAGTAGTGCAACACAAAAACGCGCACGCGCACACGCACACACGTGTCTATAGACTCTTACCTAGGAAACACATATAAGATCAATTACACCTTTTACGGGTGCAAGTTGGATGAATGCGCAACCCAAGTTACAAAATCATCAACAAAAGTGGAACTGTCAAGTCCCTAGGAGCCACTTGAAAGGATCTTAATCATATATATATATATTGCATAAATCGAATAATTTTAGTGACATTTTTTATTTTTTTTAAGGAGGTTCTAATTTTTTTTTTAAGATAAAAGAGTATTTCAAAATTATTGCACTTGTTTAATAAAGTAAATAATGTTAACTGATAGTTTATGAATATTACTGAATTAGTGTTTTTTATAAATATTGGAGTGTTAGATTTTCGATTGTATTTTAAGATAGAGGGAGTAAAAATTAATTATTTTTATTTTTTTCTTATAAAGAATAGCAGCGTCATAATAGTAGGGATTTTGAACTTAATATATATATATATTACACACACACACACACACACACACACACACACACACACTCCATGTAGGAAAAGTAGCCCATTTACCTGTGACCCTTGAAGGTGTTGGCAAAAGTGAGTCCTGTAAACTCAACTCCAAGTTAGAGGAGCCACTTGAAAGCGTCTTAATCATTATTTTAATTTCTTACATAAATTGAATGGTTTTTGTGACATTATCTTTTTCTTAAATTATAATTGCAAGAAACACAAATTCATGATCAACAAATGACCCATGTACTAACAGATCATGTGTGTGAGTATTAATTAAAAAATAAATAAAAAGTGACTCATGGTTGGTTGGGTGCTCACCATTCAACATCTAATTATTTTAATGTCTCGTTTAGTTATAGGCCCATGCCTTAGTCTCTTTAAGTCGACCAGACAACATGAAACTTTCTTTTTAAGATTCTAATTGCCTTAAGCAGAAGGAGTTTTAAATCAAAAGAATTGCAAGGAAATGAACGTGGATTGAAATTGTAAACAAGTTGAATTAGACTTTTTTTTTTTAAATATTTTTTTTAAAGGTAAGAAGTGTTAGAAGTTAGATTAGTAAATGCAGAGAGTCGAAATGTGACACTTTAAAGTTCTCTAAAAAAATTTAATTATGCTAAAAATTCTGAAGGTGCTAGACTCTTTACAGTGTCTACTATTATTATTTATTGTTCTTAGTTTGTATTTGTTATTTGAATAACTATAGATCTGCTTTTCACTCCCACTGTAATCATATTTGTTCAGAATCATAAATCTTTAAAATGACGAAGAGTTTCAATTTAGAATTTTATGGAAGCAACTTGAAGAAGTATTGGTTTATGATAGCCAATAAGCCATGTAACTGTTAGAATGAAAAAAAAAAAAAACAAAACCTTAAATCAAGTCTCCAATTATGTAGTATGCCTGAATGTTAGTATATAAGATCATATTTTTACATTGAAGGAACTGTTTTGTGTGGTGAGAAAAATTCAAAAAAAAAAAAAAAAAAAAAAAAAAAGAAAAAAGAAAAAAGAAAAAAGAAAAAAAGAACAAGAAGAAGCCTATATACGCATATTTCTATTAAAATCAAGGTGATTAGTTGTTTATATAAAAGTATATTTAAAAAATATTATGTTTTAATATTTCATAAAACATAGGAGTAACAGATTGACATATGAACAATCTGATTGACTCTCTTATCATTTTCCTACTTTAAATTGGTCAAAATGAACTTCCCTGTCACTCTTGAAAAAAGTGGTCCGAACTCTTTTTACTCGCCCAATTACAAGGCAATGACAAATGGCTCCAATTTGAGCCAAAAACAATACATACAGACATATTGATTTGGTCACTATAACTCAGTCAATCATTGTTGGAATGTACGTTATTGTACACATCTACTCTCTCTCTCTCTCTCTCTCTCTCTCTCTATTTGAACGACTATACCTAAAAAAGCTGACTTATGTAGTTAATGAATATTAACATATTAACTTGAAGGACGCTATTTTTTTCCACAATTTTCAATATATGTCCATTGTGAGTTGAAAGGACGCTATTTTAACAGGCAAAGTCCAAAGCTTTATTGGTTTATTTAGTCTATATTCATACTTTATATCTATGTGTATATATGCATGGGAAGTTGACTTGACTTTGTGTCTCCAAGTGCTAAGGCAATCCGTACTAGCCTTTTTAAATTTTGATTCCCTAAAAACGTCATATTAAATTTTTTTTAAAGTCACGTCAACAATTTCAAGAGTCACGCCAACAATTTTCGCTATCCAAAAACATACATTCCATCAGGCTCTCCGAATTTTCGCTCTAAAATAATAATAAATAATAATAATAATAATAATAAATTAAAATTATTATTATTATTTTTTTTAACTTTTCCTAAACGGTTATATTCGTAACAGTTATATTTTTAACGGTTATATTTTTTCAATGACAATATTTTGAGATCAAACAATATTTTTGCAAATTATTAAAAAAAACTACGATTGATATTAGAACTTGAAACAATACATTATCTATTATGGATTAAAAAAAACAAATTAAGCAAAATAATTAAAAATAACTTAAACAATACAATATCCTAAATTGGAATAAGAAAATAAATAGACCAAGGATTACAAAATCCTATGGAAACTTTGGGCGGACCGTGAATTCAAAGATGCCAATATCTCATTTTGTCATGTAATAATCCAAGCTTTCCTCGTTTCTGTTGGTGTCGAATTTGGATCTGTTAACATGAGCTCCTTCTCTTCAAGTCTCTGTTTCTTTAGAATCTCTAGCTGTCTTGTCTTCTCTTTCTCCATTTTTCTTACTTCTCGTGCCACTTGGGTATCCTGCATTTTCTCCTGACGACTCTCAAAACGGGTGGTGATATTATTAAATTTCAAAACGAATGAAGTTTGCAATTCATTCGTTGAATTAATTTTTACTCGACGCTGCTTTGCCGCCTTTCTTCCTGCTGGTCTTTATAGTTGATATATTCTTCCACACCGGGTGAATCATTTTCCCCTCTATGTGGTGATTCTTCAGTTGAAGCTCCATCTGTCGTGGCTGCATGACTTGGCGGAGTAGACAGTAATGAGTGCCCAACAGACTCATTAATGTCAAAGTCAAATCCACTATTCTTTGGCTCTTTTTTCTTTTTTCCTTTTCCTACTTGTTCGGCACAATGTGAATTCCTACTTTTTCTTACCTCTCGTGCCACTTGGGTATCCTGCATTTTCTCCTGACGACTCTCAAAACGGGTGGTGATATTATTTAATTTCAAAACGAATGAAGTTTGTAATTCATTCGTTGAATTAATTTTTACTCGACGCTGCTTCGCCGCTTTTCTTCCTGCTGGTCTTTATAATTGATATTCTTCCACACCGGGTGAATCATTTTCCCCTCCATGTGGTGATTCTTCAGTTGAAGCTCCATCTGTTGTGGCTGTATGACTTGACGGAGTAGACGGTAATGAGTGCCCAACAGACTCATTAATGTCAAAGTCAAATCCATTCCTCTTCTTTGGCTCTTTTTTCAAAATCCTTTTCCTACTAATTCGGCACAATGTGAATTCCATTTATTGTTATGCTTTAAGATCTCCCAGTAACTTTCTAATTTAAATTCACCACCTGTTTGGCTACGAAGCAGGTTTTTAGCTGCTATCGTCTACACGAAAAAATTAAAAGCCGACTATTTAAAATATTTACGAGTTATATTTAAACAATAAATAACTTACCATATCATCACTGTTGAAGCCGCTGGGATGATTCATTTCTATGATACTCATGCAGCCGGAAAATTTGCTTATTTTTTGTTGGATCATCGACCAACGATTCATCAAACCTCCATCATTTCGCTTAGTTGGAGCACCAATATGTTGTTTATATTGTTCCAGAATTCGCTCCCATAATTTCTTCTTACTTTGGTCTGCCCCCGTAATCACATCAGAGGTAATGGACATCCACGCCTAACATAAAGCCTCATCTTTAGCCTTGCTCCAATTAGTAGGTCGGATAGCCGGTTGTTTTGGCAGGGGTTTTGAGTTACTTGCTTGTGGAACAAGATGGGAAGTTTGGGATGGTTGATAAGAAGGTTGGGATGGTTGATGAGAAGGAAATTGAGAATCTCCTTCATAAAAATTGATATTGTTTTCGGGAAATGGCAAAAACTCATCGTTTGATGGGTTGAATTGGATGTTGTAATAAAATAGATATCGAGGATCCATGGAATCGAAATGACTTTAAAAATTATAGCTAAGATTGAAAAAATAGAAGAAAAAATAAGTTGAATGGTAGATAATAGAAACGTGATGAGTGATGATTGGAGTTGGGGTATTTATAGAGATTTATAAAATTTTAATTAATTAATTTTTCTTTGAATAAAGTTAAAAAAATTTGAATTTTTAAACTTTTTTTTTTTTTTAAATTATAGCCGTTAAGGCACTGTTTGGTACTGTAGAAACAGTGTCTTAACGGCCAAATACACTATTTGGCTTACACATTTAAAATTTAAAGCAAAAAATATTTAAAAAAACCAAATTTTAAGGGAAGAAAAAAAGGTTTTTTAATTTATTTTTGGTCCAAATTTTTTTTTTTTATGGACAAACAATGCCTAAACAATATATTTTTTATTTTTATTTTTATTTTTTTTCCAAAAAGCTCTATATAA